AACAAAGAGAACCATACCCTATTCTGCTTCCTTCTTGGATTATATGCTTTTTCTAAAATTTAAATCAAATAGGCACGATTTCAGGTTCTCATATATAAAGGATGAAGCAAATAACAAAGCCTATTTACAGAATACAGAATATTAAAACTAAAAATTATTTCATGCATCATTTCTATCTTATTTGTGAGAGAATAAAGGAAGTAAATAGACAATCTGACTAATGCAATTCAAGTTATTGGAGGAGCCAACAAATCACCAATGTACTTAAATACTGAACAAACATGCAACAGGGTTCCTGTTTCCCATTAAAAAGTGTGTGTGTGTGTGGGGGGGGGTGTGCTGGGGTTGTGGCTCAGTGGTAGAGTGCTTGCCTAGCACATGTGAGATACTGGGTTCGATCCTCAGCACTACATAAAAATGAAATAAAGATATTGTGTATTCACCTATAACTAAAAAATAAATATTAAAAAAAGACTTATGGTTAAAATACCGTGAATAAAAATCAACAAAATAAAAGTAGTCTTCAGCTAATTTTCAGATAAGAATTATACTAAAATGTCACCACTTGATTGAAGAAATAGTTCAGTTCAAAATAGCATTAACCAAATGTCCGACATCTACCTAAGCTTAAATTCAAGGCAACACAATGGGAGCCAGGCAGTTCAATATATTTATATCCAAATCACAAAACATCTGTTTTGAAAGAAAAAAATTAAATATTTTTACATCTTAATACTAAGAGGTAAGTCACATAAATTGACTTTAACACTGCTTTGAAGACAAATGTCACATTTGCTTCTTGTAATACTCCTAGGGACTCAAATATACAATGAATAAAAAACACTTAAAAATCTGACTTATAAATTGGAAAACATTTAATATCTCTAAATTTGTGACAAACTCAAACAAGACTAAAATGAATGGAGAAATTAATGATTAACATTTCAAATTCACGAATAATTAGGGCTGAAATAATGGTGTTATAAGTATGATGATAAATATTAAAAATTATTAAGCACTTATCTGAGGCCAGAAACTAATTAAGTACTTCAAATAAACAAATCCTTAAAGCATTGTAAGGCAGGTAATTATACCCATCTAACAGAGCAGGCTAATTGAGGACTGGGGTTTAAAGAATTTGTCCAAAATTACAAAGTCTAACAGAGGCAACCATGAAACTCAGATGTGTCTAAATCCAATGTATATGTATAACCCCATGTGCCATGATGATTTCCTGCATGTGAGCATTTAAAATAATTTGTTATATAATGCTACTAGAATAGAAAAGTAGGAAAGGAACTTAGACATCTTTATAACTCGTTTTCAAATGAGTTATAATACTATAAATAATATCTACGTGGATGAAAAAATTATTAAGTATTCTTCTCATAAAAGAAAAACTATGCTTAACAAGGCCTATTTATAATATCCTTAATGAGAAATGCCCCAATTTTAATAAGATATTTACACACATTGATATATAAGTGAACCAAAAAAAAAAATGGGGTAGTGGGTTGTCCCACACTAGAAAAGTAGAAATGAAAATATCTCTACTGGACTAGTTGTATTAGGGTTCTGTAGAGGAACAGAATCAACAGGAAGTGTAATTATGAAAAGCAGACCAGAAGCTGGACAGTCCACAATGGCCGCCTGCAGGCTGGAGAATTGGAAGAACCAGCAGCTACACAATCAAAGAGGCCAAAGCCCCAGAACAAGAGGGATCAAGGATGTTACCCTAGTTTCAGACCTAAGCCTTCTGGACAATCACTGTTCAGAGTCTGCGTTGGAAGAATGAAGAAGTGAGAATCCCATGATCACAGCAGCATTCAAGAAGCCATTCAAGAAGAATGGAGCTTGCACCCGCTGCTGCTGCTGCTGCTGCTTTGGTCTTGCAACTTTTATTCCATCCAAGACATCAACCTACTGGTTGGTGCTGCTCACGCTTAGGGAGGGTCTCCATTTCAGTTAATATCCCACATGCCAATCATTCCTAGACACACCCTCACTGACACAAAATCCTCCTAATCCTGGGTATCTCTTAATCCAATCATGTTGACAATTCAAATTGACCATTACACTAGTTTTGCCATATGGGACTTTGAGAACATTATGGTAAGTCAAATAAGCCAATCACAAAGGACAAATGTTGTACAATTCCACTCCTATGAGTTATCCAAGTAGTCAAATTCATAGAAGTAAAAGTTGACTGGGGGTGACCAGAGAGTTAGGGAAGGGAGAAATGAGGAATTGTGTAATGGGTATAGAATTTTAGTTTTATAAAATGAAAAAGATCTTTTCAAGAATGTAAATATGCTTAATATTACATAACTATACACTTAAAAATGGCTTAAGTCAGAAAAAAAAAAGAAAAAGGCTTTAGTATTAATATGTAAACAGCTATAGATATAGAGAGGCTAGGGATATAAGCTCAGTAATAGAGCTCTTGACATAGCATGTGAGGCCCTGGGTTTGATCCCCAGTGTGTTTACACGTATGTACGTGTGTGTACACACCCCTATCCAACCAGGAGAACAGTCCTTCCACACTGTGCAATATAGTAGCTACCAACCATATATGACTATTAAAATAATGCTAATTTTGAAAAAATTAAAAAATCATTTCCTCAGTCATACTAGCCTCATTTTAAGAGCTCAACAGCCATATGTGGCATTATCAACATAACCATAGAAAATTCTATTAGATAGGATTGGTTCAGTGTACAGAAATGACTCAAATACATATGAAAATTTGCATTTGATATAAAACTGTGTGCAATAAAGGTGGCATTTCAAATCAGTAGGGAAAGAATTATTAAGTAAATAGTGTTGGAACAATTTATTAGCCAGAGGGGAATAGGGGAGGGTGGAAGAAATAAAGCTAAACCTATATCTGAACTGCATGAACCAAAGATTTACACCTAACAAAATAAAATGATTAAAGTACTAGTTACCAATGGACTTTCTAAATAGAAAACAATCCTAAAAGACAGAATGAAAGAAAAATTAAAATTTTAGATGAATAAAGGTAAAAACTTTTAGGTGAATAAAGCCCAAACTTAAAAGAAAATAAGAGGGGATGTTTATAACTTTTTTAAATCAATTAAAACACAAAATTCAGTGGGAAAAAGGCCAACTGAATGTGTCAGTACACACATGAAAAATTACTCAATTTACTCATCACTTAAACACTATTACAAATTGCATTTTCAATCATGAGATGGCAAACATAGTCTCCAGTATTAATGGGAATATACAAGATAGGCACGAATGGATATTAAAAACTGATAAATGTTATTTAGAGGGAATTTTAAGAGTTATCAAAAATCAAGGGGCTGGGGATGTGGCTGAAGCGGTAGCGTGCTCGCCTGGCATGCATGCGGCCTGGGTTCGATCCTCAGCACCACATACAAACAAAGATGGTGTGTCCGCCGAAAACTAAAAAAATAAATAAATAAATATTAAAAAAAAAAAAAAAAAATCAAAAGCAATAAATAATAGTTGTGAATAAATGAATGTAGGCTTGACTTTCAAGTAGTTTGAGAGGTGAAAAACTTACCTAGTGCAGGTATAAATGAAACAAGGTCAGGCCTAAATTAATAGTTGGTAGAGCAGGGTATATGGAGGCTCATTATCCCCCTTCCCCAATACTGGGGGGATTGCATTCAGGGGCTTACACATGATAAGAAGTGCTCTACCACAGAGTTATATCCTCAGACTGTCTATGTTTGCATACATTTGAGTTTTTCCATAAAGGTTTTCCTAATATGCATATTCTTCAATCCAGGGGTTCAATTTCTAGATTTTCACCTCTAGCTGCACTGTTCCAGCACACTACAGTGTAAGTATAAGGGTGTTCTTTGAGGCAATAAAAGTAAAAATCTAATGTTTGTTAAGAACTGATTGGGGAAAAAAAAAAAATTATGGTTTATCTAAATACAGTAATGTCATATGCCCAGAAAAACAAATTATATGAAGCAAATTATGGGAAGAAGAAAATATCAAGGGCAGAACAATAGGTATAGTTTGATCTTTAAGTAAAAAAATCAAACAAATAGCTTTGGGAATACACCTTGATATATGTCCACATTCATAAAATATTTCTGAAGAGATATGAAAAAACATAATGGTAGTTACATCTGATTGGGTACGGGCGAAGGAACATATCATATTAGAAATAAAAAATAATTAGAATTATTTAATCTTTCTTTGATTAAGGTGATTGGCATTTGCTTAGGAACTGTCAATATTCAGGGTCAAGGCTGGTAGGAAGCTGCCTCAAAGTTCATTTAAATTCTATGGGCAGAACAGATGAGTTGTCACTCTTTTATTGCTGACCCCATCCCAGTGCTCTTATGGGACCTTTATCTCAGTCAGCTCTGATAATTCAACTCAAAGACTAATATTTCAAATAATTTCTTTGAAGATATAAATAAGATCCTTCCTTAGTATTAATCAAACAATTAACAATATTTATTGAGCATATAGATTCGGTCAGTTCTACAGGGAACATTAGCCCATAGGACAATAATCCTTGCTCAAGAAGTTTATAGTCTAAGATAAGAAAACATATTCTTTCAAGAAATAATAAGACAACAATTAAGCCATGCAAACACATTCAGTGCTCACAAAAGGAGAAGTTGGTGTAGAAATGAATAATCAGGGTTCAGGGAAGAAATAAGATAGCAGATTCAATCTTAACAGATGAGCTAGATTTAGATAAACAGAGGGGAAAAGATTATATAAAACCTCTAGAAAGAATACACAGAAACAAAAAGTTGAAATAGACTCAGTACAACTGGAGATGGGGGGAAAGGAAGAAGTTTGAGTAAGTAAAAGTAGGAATAAATTTTCAAAAGGACATACATCTTAAAAACCTGGAAAAAATTGTCTAAGAGTTTGGCAGCAACAACATGCAGAGCAGGGCAAACTATTTCCATCTCTGCGTCTTTTTAGCATGCTTGCTTGATATAAAAAATAAAATAATGAGTGCTATGTCAGTACCTCACTTCCAGATTCGAGTGGTCTCTTTTTCCTTGGTCCAATAGCTGCAAGAGCTGTGAGATTAGCATCTCTGTGCTGTATCTGGGCGAGTTCCAATTGCTGTAACTAGGAGATGGAAAAAAAAACAAAACAAAACAGCCATGTTTATATACACTCGTGCTCAGAGGAAAAAAGAAACTGATCACTAAGCCTATTTCTGTATACTTCCCCAAATAAAGTTATAGTATAAAATAAATATTAGATTCCCTTATACCCAAGGGCATGTTTTCTGACTCCTTTCTTCCAGAAACAAGAACTTTAGTCCTTAGTTTTTATCCAGAAGAGGCAAAAAACTTAGGTAAAGGGAGTACAAGACACAAGAAAAGAAAGGCATCTAAACCACAATTTCTCCCTGGTTTAAGCACAATTATGAAATGTCTGAAGAATATGATGAACATCAAGTTGGAGAAAGACTGGCCCACTAAAGTCAACCTTTTAGATTTTTTTAAAAAAACTACTTCAACATATGAAAATTAAATATATTTGTCATCCTTTGTTTATGAATGGAGACAGTGAAATTCTATGACAACTTCTCAAAAGTCACACAAGTAATAACAGAAAGAAATAGCACTTGGAGCCAAGCATTAATTACAAACATTTTTAATACATCATGCTGCCTCCTTTGCAAATAAAAATCATGGATTTTACTCTATATTTATCTTCACAGAAAAAAAAGTGAAGCGATTTTTTTTATATAGCTTTCATCACACTAATCCAGAATGCCCGAATCTACAAGGTATAATTTCTGAGTATGTGCATGAAAGATGTCCTATGAAAGGCAGAAACGGCATCATTTCGTCAAGGCAGCTAAGTGTCATTTAGGTATTTTTTGAAAAAATAAGGTGTGAAAGTAAAAGCAAAATACTTCTAAATTTGTCTCTAAGTTTTTCCAAAAGAGGAACAATATTCAATTCCCATCAAAACCTTACTACTGGAGAGGACAAAGAGGCAGGATGAGGCTCGCTGAAAGTCACTTATTTTAACAGGATCAAGACAGTCAAATGAAGGTAACCTATGGAGAAACACTGGCAATATTCTTCAAAAGAGCATTAACCAAATTTTAAATACTTTTTTTAAAATTTTTTATTTTTTTAAGAACAGGATGAAGGCAGACACAATGGTGCATGCCTACAATCCTGATGACTCTGGAGGCTGAGGGAGGAGGATAGCCTGGGCAACTTAGTGAGATCCTGTCTTAAAATAAAACAGGTTGGTGCTCAAGTAGAACACTACTGGATTTAAGCCCCAGTACTACAAAACAAATAAATGAATGAATAAAAGCAGTATAAAAATAGGAAACAATCTGTGTAGTTTCATCCTTGGAACTGATATTTATTTATTTATGTTACTGCATAAATACATCTCACTTTAAGATAACTTCGGATTATTTGAATATTAAAAAAAACAATGAGTAATCCAATAGTAATTGAATCTTTAATAAAGTAGAAAACAGATGGTATGCTCTGAATGTCTGTGTCTCAATGTTGAATCCGAACCCCCAAGGTGACAGTATTACGAAGCAGGGCCTTTGGGAGGTGATGGTTCCAGTGGATGAAGCATTCACAAATGGGATCAGTGCCCTGATGAAAGAGCCAGAAGAGAGACTCCTTGCTCTTTCCGCCATGTGAAAACAAGGCATATATGAAGAATGGGTCTCATCAGACTCCAAATCAAATGGCATCTTGATCTTGGACTTCCCCGCTTCCAGAACTTGAGAAATAAAATCCTATTAGTTATAAGCTACCCAGTCTAAGGTATTTTGTTATAGTAACGAGAATGTATTTAAACAACTAACCAAAGAAAGTAAAGTAAGAGCCAGGCATGGTGGCACATGCCTATAATCCCAGCGGCTTGGGAGGCTGAGGCAGGAGGACAACAGGTTCAAAGCCAGCCTGAGCAATTTAGTGAGGCTATAAGTAACCCAATGAGACTCCACCTCAAAATAAAAAATATAAGGCTCAGTGATTAAGCACCCCTGGGTTCAATCCACGGTATCAAAAAAAGAAAGAAAGTAAGGACGTGAACTAAGAATCATTTTCCATTTGCTCCACAAAATGTAGGACAGAATACCTTTTAATCTGTGAGTTTTATTTTAAATAATTAGAAAAGTGTTTTCAGAAGTTGTAAAATATTTTGTTGCTGCTAGTCTTAATAAAAAATAGTTTAGTTTGATGCTGCCACAATCCAGAACTTCTAGGTGACAAAAAAGAAAAAAAAATTCAGTTAATCTACCCTACAGCACAAATCAAATTATATTTTAAAATTCTTCCCTGTAGAGAAAAAGAATCTGCAAGGTAGTCATACCAAGTAAAATGTTTTTAAATTGACCCCAGTCTTCAAATTCCCCAATCTATGTAGCAAATAATTTTCTCTACTCTACAAATGATTACTTTGGTTTTCTTAAGTTTTACATACAATGCTATAGAAAATTTTGCTAACATACAGAAAATTGGAAACTGATCATAGTTCTGGTTGGCCCTGTACTTTTAACAAACTCTCTACAATATTATCTTAGCCAGCACAAAAAAGAGAAACCAGACACTCAAAACTAGAATAAGAGGAAGTTCTAGGCAATACTGCAGATTTGGCAAAACTGGTTGAAGATGACAACAATTGAGTTGAGTTTAGTAGAAACAGACACTGATTTAGGGGCTCATCCACGGACACAAAATTGTTGCATGATTAACTGCAGAAAACTCCCAAGTTATATATGAAAAACAAAACCAAAATCCTTCTAGTACTAATAGATAAGGTTAGCAAAACTACAAGATGTAAAGTCAAAACACATAATAAGAGACACACTGTGTTAATGGATCACAAGACTCAACATTATAAAGATTTTGGTTCGGGGCTGGGGATGTGGCTCAAGCGGTAGTGTGCTCGCCTGGCGTGCGTGCGGCCCGGGTTCGATCCTCAGCACCACATACAAAGATGTTGTGTCCGCTGAAAACTAAAAATAAATAAATAAATATTTAAAAAAAAAAAAAAAAAAAAAGATTTTGGTTCTCTCCAAATTGACCTACACATTTAACACAATTGCAATAAAATTGGTATTGCAGCTATGGTAAGTTGGTTCTAAATTTTATATGGGGGCTAGACATAGATCAGTAACAGGCCACTTGCCTGGCCTGCATGAGGCCCTGGATTTAATTCCCAGCACGACAAAATAAACAGCTGCTAACAAAGTTAGTTTATCTGAAAAGACAAATAAATCAGAATGGTTTAATCTTGATAAAAAAAGAACAAAATTGAAAGAATTATACTATGTGATTTTAAGACTTACTATAAGACTATAATAATAAAAATAATGTAATACTGGCAAAGAAAGACAGATTAATGGAACAGAACAGAAAGAAGATCTGTATAAATACAGCCAACTGGATTTGATCAGGTTGGAAAACAATTCATTTGGGAAATATCAAAAATTCTCTTCTTGACCAAATTCTACCCATGTTCCTCTGAATCCACTTCTCAACTAAGCCTCAACACTGGTTTAAAAAGAACTAAATAAAATGCTGACATGGTTTGTACCATCTCAAGGTTGCATCCTTAGAATGATATCAATTCTTGAAGAAAGGGCCTACCTAAGAAAACTCAAGGCTGCCAAAAGAATTCTTGTTTGTTCTAGCCAGCACCTGAAGATGAGGCCCTTGTTGCCAGCCTCTGGAAGAGAAGTGCCTAATTTCAATAAGCAACAGTTAGCAAACTCAGATGGGTTTCAAATAGACCAAGCCCCGTTCCCATTTTAAGGTTTTTTTCATTTCACTAACTTTACTGAGTTCCCACTCATGCCCTTCTATTCTCACATTCTCCATTTAAAAAGCCACATCAATGTTTATATCAGCTCAATTCAAATAGCTAAGCTATGAAACCAACCTGGGTGCCTTTCAACAGATGAACGGATAAAGAAAATGTGATATATATAAACAATGGATTATTACTCAGTCATGAAGAATGAAGTTATAGTATTTGCCAGTAAATGGATGGCACTGGAGAAATAAGCCAATCCCCCCAAAACCAAAGACTAAATGTTCTCTCTGATATGCAGATGCTAAGACAAAATAAAGGGGTGAGGGAAGAACAGAATCTCAGTGGAGCAGACAAAGGAGAATGAAGGAAAGGGAGGGGAAATGGGAATAGGAAAGATAGTAAAATGAACTGGAAATAACTTTCCTATGTTCATATATGAATACACCACCAGTGAAACTCCACATCATGTACAACCACAAGAATGGAATCCTAATTAGAATCAGTTATACTTCATGTATATATGTCAAAATACACTCTACTATCATGGAATTCTAAAAAAAAAAAAAAAAAAGAAAAGAAAGAAAGAAAAAAAACAAATAAAAAAGTTAAAAGATACAAGTAAATGGCAAGACAAAAATAAATAAAATGCCCAGTAACTTCTATACCAACCAAAGGAGGCTGGTTCCGTTCAACTGAACCACTTTGCCTGTTCCAATAGCATATTATCAATAAAACCTATCCTTACCACTTTAGTATACAGCAGTCTTTTCAACAAATGTACGGGCAACTAGACACCTATGCACACACACATATACACAAATTAATCTGGACCTAAACCTCAGACCTTTTATAAAAATTAACTCAAAATGGAAAACCACAAACATCTAGGGAAAAAAACATAGGAGAAAATCTTCATAGCTTGGAGTCTAGCAAAGAGTTATTAGACATAATACCCAAAGTGCATCCATAAAAGAAAAAAGTGACAAACTGGTCTTTGGCAAAATGAAAACATTTTGATCAGTGGAAGATACATTTAAGAAAACTAAAAGACCAGCTATTTTACTTCTCTGTCTTGGTCTAATTAGCCTTTATTCGTCTTTCTTGCCTTATTGTCCTGCAAGGACTTATTAGTATACCATTGAAAAATAGTGGTTAAAAACAAATATCTTCTCTTTTTCCTAATCTTTGGAATAAAGTAGTCAGCTTTTCATCATTAAGAATATTAATAGTAGCCAGGCCCCACTGGCACATGCTTGTGATCCCAGCAGCTTGGTAGGCCAAGGCAAGAGGATCATGAGTTCAAAGCCAGCCTCAGC